ATATATTTACGTTTTAATCTTATTTTTATTTTTTAATTTTACAATGTAGCAATCTTACAATTTTAGAATCTAACAATCTTATAGTTTTACAATTTAGCAATTCTACAACTTTTAAATCTAGCAATCTCAATTATTATCAATATATTTTTACAATGTAACAATTTGACACATTTAAAATTTTAGCAAGCTTACAATTTAGCAAGTTACAGTTTTACACTTCAGCAATCTTACAATATAGCGATCCTATAATTTTACAGTTAATCTTACAATTTCGTAACTTACAATTTTGCAATGTAAGAGTTTTACAATTTTACAATCATATAATTTTACAATTTAACAATCTTACAATTTTACAAATTTTTACTCTTACAATTTTTTAATCTAGTAAAATTTCAATTTTACAGTCTAGCAAATCTCCCAATTTTACAATCTAGCAATTTTTTAGTTTTACAATTTCACTATCTTATATTCTTACATTTTAGCAATCTTACAATTTTACAACCTCGCTATGTTACAGTTTTACACTTTGGAAATTTTACAATCCAGTAATTTTATAGTTTTACTAAACTTAGCAATCTCATAATTTTACAATAATACAAACTAGCAATTTTACAGTTTATCGCCATTACAGTTTTACAATCTATCAGTTTTATGGTTTAGAATCTAGCGGTTTTACAGTTTAGCAGTCTTACAGTCTAGCAATTTTACAATTTTACAATCATATAATTTTATAATCTAGCAAACTCACAATTTTGCAAAATTTTAATTTTACATTTTTACAAATCTAGTATTGTGTCAATTTAACAATTTGGAAATGTTAAAATCTAGCAATCTTATAATGTTACAATTTAAAAACCTTACAATTTTACACTTTTCTATTTTTACACTTTTTCAGTTTAGCAATTTTACAATCTCCAAATTATAGAATTTATTTATGTTTCAATCTTAATTTTATTTTACAATTTTACAGTTTACCAATCTTGCAATCTTACAATTTTATAATGTAACAGTTTTACAATTATATAATTGTACAATCTAACGATCTTACAATTTTACAAATTTTTAATTTGAAATTTTTTTAATCTAGCAAAGTTTACAGTTTAGAAATCTCACAATTTTACAGTTTTCTTATCTGATTGTTTTACAGTTTAGCAATTTTACAATTTCGTTATGTTACAGTTTTACAGTTTAACAATTTTACCATCTAGCAGTTTTATAGTTCTATAATTTACCAATTTTACAATCTGGTAATCTTATGATATAACAATTTAACGATTTTACGGTTTTATAGTTTACGAATTTTTACAATTTTACAGTTTATTAATCTTACTGACTGTTTTACAATTTTGCTATCTTAGAGTTACACAATCTAACAATTTTACAATTTAGCAGTTTAGGAATCTTACAATTTTAGAGTTTGGCAATTTTAGTCTTTGCTACCTTACAATTTTACAATCTAGACGTTTTATAGTTTTATACTCTAGCAGTTTTACAATTTAGCTTTCTTACAGTTTTACAAGTTAGCGATCTTACAATCTAGCATTCAGGCAATAATTTTACAATTTTACCGTTTACAATCCAGGAGCTTTAAAATTTCATATTACAATTTATCAGTTTCTAGGACTATGAAGCCTTTAATAAATTTACAATTTTACAATATATTTTACAATTCTACAAGCTTATCTTACAATTTTACACTTTTAACAGTCTTACAACTTAACGATCATTTAATTTTAATATTTAGCATTTTTTTAGTTTTACAATAAGTTTTAAAACTTTTTTTACGTTTAGGTTATAGTACATACTTTACAATCTTAAAATTGTAATTTACGGATTTACAATTTTACTATTCATGTTTACATTTTTACAATTTTTTACGTAAAAAGCTGCAATTTAGAATTTTTCGGTTAATTTTAATATTTCTAAACTTAAAATCTTACAATTTGTGATTTTTTTTATAATTTTACATTTTTTTTTTTGGTATTTGAAAAAAAGATATTGAATAAAAAACCAAGTGATTTCACACGGTCCCAAATCCGGTCAAACCCGAGTCACATACTAATTTTTTTCTAGATTTCGCTAATGTGCGGCATCAAAATCACCTACCCCATGGAAAACTATCTCGAAATCGACGAATGGCTCGAATTCGAATTCCCCACCCCCCACATCATCTATCTCCGTCGTTTCATCGAAACAATAATCGAAAAAAAATTACAAAGTCCCACCAACACACTTAACGAGAACGAAGAGGCGGCTTTGGCCGCCCTTGCAAAAGTCCTCATACACGAAGACAGGGCTGCCAACCTCGAAATTCCAGTGGGAATTCGCCAAAAACCCAAGTTTTTCGAACTAAACCGAGCTCTAGATTTGGAACAGCGACCACAGCGGTTCAGACGCGAAATGGGGGCGTTTGGGGGGCCCTCGACTTCAGCAGCGGCCGCTTTGCCCCCCGCCTACCCCAATTACGAGAACTCGATTTTTTTACTAATTAGGGTGAAGCAGGAAAGTAGCGTCAAAATCGCTTTTGACTCGAATAAATGGATTTTTTCGCCGCAAACTGAGAAACAAGTCATCGCCCTAGACAATGTAAGAAATTTTGAATTTAATTTTTTTAATTAAAAAAAAATTAATTTTTTTTTTCTTAATTTTTTTATTAGAAAAAATTAATAATTTTTTTTTACTTATTTAAAATTATTGATTCATAAAATTAAACAGAAAAA